CATGGCCATCAGAGAAAGCAAGGTAAGTACTAGGGGAAGCCATGAAGGTGGTGTGTCAGGCACCTTACAGTATGAAGTAGAGGGGTTTCCAGAGGTAGGAGACAAAGATATAGCCCAGAGCAAGTTGCAGACTGGTTGCATTAAACAATTAAATCATAGACAGATGAAGTAAGTGAATATATTAAAATAAAAGGAGTCACATCTCTCATGGTCTGAAGTGACTTGCAAAGGGTGAAAGGGAAAGAACTAAAAATGACACAGAGGTATTAGATTGGAAATAAAAATAAAAATATGAACTCATGGGTATCTAAATATATACTCTTATTTAAACAGCAATTATTACAGAAATATGTTTACACATTTTTATAATATACATACATATATACACAGAGAGAGAGACAGAGAGAGAGAGAGAGAAAGAAAGACTGAAAATATTGCTCAGTTGTAGAGTAAGTGCTTAGTAAATATGAGGCCATGGGTAGGAACCCTGCCACACACACAATAAAAACCCTACTACACACACACACACACACACACACACATACACACACACACACACACACACATCTGTATACACACATATAAAATTCATGCAGGGCCAATGTTTCCAAATAAAATAGAATATATTTTCATATTTTATATAAACACATACAGTAGGCCTAGGTATGCCTACTGAAGATCTAAAAGCAATGCCACCCCAATAGCAGTGAGCACAATAGCAACCATATTTTGGTTTCTTAATATTAATTAAACCAGAACAAACCACATCCATCCACAAATAGCTAACTCAGAAAAAGTGCAACATAAACATGGAACATCACAGTGACTACAAAGTAATGATGGAAGAATGATCAGGGAGAGGTCAAAAGAACACACAGACCATTGAAAAGCCATCCCCTAGTCAAATAAGGATCAATTTAATCATTAAAACAGTGAAGAAAAGCAGATTCCAACCTATTGCATCACACAGAAAATTAACAGGGGAAAAACTCTTCCTTAGATAAAATGTCAACAATTACCTGTTAGGCAACTACCACAAGAACAGGAGTTATTAGCTTACGCTAAAATTGGCAGGTGAGACTTGAGGAGGAACACAATCTTGGTATAATAGGAAATTATCTTCCCAGAAAAAAAATACTAATCTACTCTAAAGAAGAAAAGTACTTTCCCCGCAGAGAAGCCCAGCAGACCCCAACATGATCAAATGACGGAAGTTCACACCACCCATGAGACCGGAATCTGCTCATGGAACATAGGGATGGACCCAGTAGAGGGTCACCCCATGAAATCCACCAAAACTTGCAAGGGCGTGACAGACAGGAAAGGACTATGGAACTCACACAGATTATCAAAACAACCAAAACAGGAAAGCCAGAAAAGACATGTTTCAGTGAAGAATCCCAAGGCACTGCAGGAAACAGACATTGCAGGGGAAGCTGGTGACATGTGACTAGAGTCTAAGCACTGGATGGTTGAAAAGCCACCACTGTCAACTTCCTTACCTGAAGGCTGGTGTAGTGGAATGTCCTTGCCTCTTGGAATTTACACTGGGAAGAATTTACCAGAGATGGAGCATGAGGTCAGAAAAAAACTTACACAGGTGGAACATAGATGGAGGAAGAGGGGAGCAAATGCAGTAAAATAGAAGTTAGGGAATCCAGGTGAGG